TCCGCGGCGCGGACACCGGTGGCTCCGGTTCCCCCCGGGTCTCCTCGCCTGCTCGGGCCGAGGTCGGAGGGCAGGTTTGCCCGTGTTGCCGCGTCCACCGGCACGCGGGGTTTTCTCGGGACAGCGAGCGCACCCTGGCTTGGGGTTCCGGGCGATGCCCCCGCCTCTGCCTCCCGGAGTCGCCGCGCCACGCGGGGCCCCCGCCCGCCGTGCTGATGATGTGACACGGTTGCGGAGCTTCTTACCGCATCCTGTTGCGATGCCCCCTCGTTCCCGAGTGGGTCAGAGAGCTGGGAAGGCCCAGCCCACACCCCGGCCCGCGCCCCCAAACGCCCGACTGGCACTGGGGCTTCGCGGTGCGCGCTGATGGTCCCGATCCCGTTGCGGTGCAGCGTCTAATAAAAAGTGAAAAAGCGGGAGAGTTTCAGGTCTTTCTACGTGGCCCTCCCTTCTCAGGTGGAAAGCGGGCTGGGGATGGGTTTGTGTGTGTTCTTCCTGTTCAGTGCCACTGGGTAGCGGATGGACGTGTGGCACAGGCTAAGCCAGGATCCTCCAGTCCGTTCCGCCAGCCTCCAGGAATTTGTTTGGGGATCTCACACCTCAGTTTATTGTCACTGCCTGTCCTGTAGGGCCAAAAGTAGTTCTTAACATTGTATTTCTTAGGGGAGTGTGTGTGTGGGTGGGGTCTTTATCTCTCGCTGGGTGTAGCTAGAGTCTCAGGGTACAGTGTGGCTTGTGTGAATGTAGACTTACTCCCTATGCCCTCAGGGTTTCTGTTGTCTTCATCCTCCTTTCCTTTGTTTTTTTGTTGTAGTTGTAAGACAGGGTCTCACTCTGCAGCCTCGGCTGGCTTAAGCTCAGCAGCAACCCTCCTGCTTCAGCCTCCCGAGTTCTGACGGTACAGGCACGAGCTTCCTCCCACGCGCTCCTTGTTTGCCCTTATTTATGAAGATAAGTCTTACTCTCTTGCTCAGACTAGCTTCAAACTCTTGGACTCAAGAGTAACTGGGGCTTGCTGGGCTGTGGTGGTGTACTCCTTTAATCCCAGCACTGGGGTAAGGGTGGGGGGTCAGAGGCAGGTGGATCTTTGAGTTCGAGACTAGCCTGGTCTAAAAATCGGGTCCAAGACAGCCAGGGCTACACAGGGAAACCAATCTTGAAAAACAACAACAACAAAAAGTAACTGGGACTCCAGGCATGCACTGGGATCAGGAAGCCCTCAAGCTCTTTTTTACCCCCCAATGTTAGGGGTCAAACCCAGGATATTAGACATACTAACACACACACACACACACACAATGTTAGGGGTCAAACCCAGGATATTAGACATACTAACGCACGCACGCGCGCGCACACACACACACACACACACACACACACACACACACACACACACACACACACACACACGTATTATTAGGTTAGAGGAGATGCAGGAGCCCCTAGCCACTCTCCCCCCTCAGGACTTGTTCTTTCATCTGCTGCTCCCTGTCTCACCTGCTCAGGCATCCTTAGGAGTGCATGCTATGGGTCCTGGGGCAGCTACTGAAGGGCACAGTTGCCGGGTTGATCCCTGTTCATGGATCCCACCCCTTACGTCGTGGTCCTCACAGCATTTGGTCTGGCTTTCATTCACACCTCAGAGTCATCTTTGCGAGTCATCGGGGTCTTCCACTGTCAGGGCGTCTCAATCCCCAGTCCTTGCTCGGCATTCATAGGAACCTAGTCTTGGTACAAAGTTTGGGCATGTTCACACCCAGGGCCACAAGTGTCTCCAAGAAATAGTCAGTGATGAACCCTTCTGGAGTCTCTGGGGTTGTGGTGTGGAGCTGATTCTTCGGCGTAGAGAGCCCTAGGTTTGGGGTTAAGCCTGAGGCTGGTGCTACATGTCATGGCCCTCATCCCAAGGGTCCCATGGAGAGGGGGACACTCCGGGAGGTGACCCAGTCTCCGGAATCTTCCTCAGGATGGACAGAGCCCTGACACCTATAGAGCAGTGGGTAGTGTGTGTATTCATGGGGGAGGGCGGAGGGAAAAGTAGAATCCATATTGAGGGGCTGGAGAGATGGCTCAGGGGCTAAGAGCACTGGCTGCTCTTCCAGAGGTCCTGAGTTCAATTCCCAGCAGCCACATGGTGGCTCACAACCATCTGTTATGAGATCTGGGATCTGGTGCCCTCTTCTGGTGTGCAAGCAGAATGTTGTATACATAATAAATAAAAAAAATCTTTTTTTTTTTAAAGAATACATATTGAAACGAGACCCCAGGAGCACATGTGGATCTAAATGGGGCCTGTTGTTGGAGAAGGACAGACCTGCCTCCACCATATAAATCTCACCTACTCAAGACCTCTCCCCTAAGGCAGGACGGTGGTGGCGCACGCCTTCAATCCCAGCACTCGGGAGGCAGAGGCAGGTGGATCTCTGTGAGTTCGAGACCAGCCTGGTCTACAAGAGCTAGTTCCAGGACAGCCTCCAAAGCCACAGGGAAACCCTGTCTCGGGGGAAAAAAAAGAAAAAAAAAAAAAAAAAGAACCCTCCCTGGCTCCCCACTCTGGCTCAGGATACTTGTCCCTGGGAACAGTGGTGGAGAAGAGAGGAGCCAGAGTCTTAAAGAACATAGAGGTTCAGGAGGCTCATTGTAAGAGGCTGGCAAACAAGCCTCTCTTTTGCAGAGTGGGTACCACCTGCCACACGACATCAGCACAACCATCTCTTGCACAGTGGTTCAACACCCCCCCCGGCACACCCCCCTCCCCTGTCTCCTGTGTCCCCAGCACTGTTTTTTTTTTCTTTTCTTTTCTTTTTTTGGCACAGCTGGAGTCTGTCTTTCAACCCTCTCAACCAGCCTCAGTTCTAAACTGTTCATGGGAAACTAGAAAAGGGGGAGTGTGATCCTGATGTGAAGCCCCCTGGAAGACCCCTTCCCTCTGACCTGCTCTCTGCTGCACAGAAAGCCACCAGCTCACCTCTGCTCCCACTCTTCTGCATAGTCAACTCCCAGGCTCCCTGAAAAAATGTATATATCAACTTTTGAAGTAGGGACCTCATCTTCCTGTCTCAATGCTTGCTCAGTGACTTCTAATTAAAAAAAGCATCAACACCAGGCAGTGGTGGCGCACACCTTTAATAGTAGCACTCTGGAGGCAGAGGCAGGTGGATCTCTGAGTTGGAGGCCAGGCTGGTCTACAGAATGAGTTCCAGGACAGCCAGAGCTACACAGAGAAACCCTGTCTTCAAAACAAAACAACAATAACAAAAATTTGATGCTGCTACAACTCCAATATGGTGTTGCCTACAGGGAAGGTAGGCATTCTAAGTATTTTCATACAAGATTAATGATTCAATTAGTGAACAAACAAGAAAACAGAAACACATCTAGCTGGGCATTGGTGACACACACCTTTAGTCCCAGCACTCAGGAGGCAGAGGCAGGTGGATCTCTATGAGTTCAAGACCAGCCTGCCCTACAGAGCAAGTTCCAGAACAGGCTCTAAAGCTTGGAAGAAAAAAAAAAATCTAAATTTGTAGACTTTTGGCTGGGTGATGGTGCCAGCCATCACCAAGCTGGGCATTGGTGACACACACCTTTAGTCCCAGCACTCAGGAGGTAAAGGCAGGCCGATCTCTGAATTCAAGGCCAATCTGGTCTATAAATCAAGTTCCGGGACAGCCAGGGCTACACGGAGAAACCCTGTTTTGAAAAACCAAAAGTAAACAAGTAAATAATAAAATAAATTAGTAGACTTTGATGCTAAGAACAGCATTTTAGGGCTAGTGATGACTCAGCAGATATGAGAAAGCCTGGGTTACCTCCTGGAGAGTCCTCTCTACAAGTCCCGGAGGACGGGGTGGATGGCAGTAACATTCATCCTTCACAAGACCTGAGCTCAGTTCCCAGCACCTATGTGGAGCTCACAACTATTTGTAACTCCAGTTCCAGGGGATTCAATGTCCTTTTCTGGCCTCCAAGGGCCCCAGGTACACACGGGGTGCACATACATACATATGTGCAAACATTCATACACATAAAAACTAACAATATATTTTTTTCGAAGCAGGGTTTCTCTGTTTCCCTGGCTGTGCTGGAACTCACTCTGTAGATCAGGCTGGCCTTAAACTCAGATCCACCTGCCTCTGCCTCCAGAGTGCTGGGATTACAGGCGTGTACCACCATTGCCTGGCTTTTTTTTTTTTTTTTTTTTTTTTTTTTTTTTTTTTTTTTTCTGAGACAGGGTTTCTCTATGTAGCAGCTTGCTGTGTAGACAGTCTAGCCTTGAACTCACAGTGATCTGCCTGCTTCTGCCTCCAAGTGCTATAGCACTTGCTTCTAATCCCAGTATTCAGAAGGCAGAGGATCCTTCTCATATCTGTACACGTGTGTGTGTGTGTGTGTGTGTGTGTGTGTGTGTGTGTGTGTGTGTGACCTGGATTCTGTCCATCTGGAAAATTCTGAAACTTCTCTCAAAGGGTTCCTCCTCACCAGGAACTTGGCCTTGCCCAGCCTGGATCCACCAGCAAAGCATCTCCCGTTGGCAAGCTTCAGGGGTAGACACTGAAGAGGTTGGTGCCCCTCACCAAGTCAGTGTGCCAAGCCCTGTTATGGTGCCAGTCTTGAGGCAGGTTTGTTATGATGGCGGCACTGACGCTCTGTAGCCCTCTGCTCTATGGAGGACCTTCAGCAGGACCATAGCCAGCTTTATGGGACCTGTGTTACTGGCTCCTCTCTCAGCATTACACTCCCCTGTCCAGGCAAGCCTCTCTCCACAGGTGACCAATAATAAATGGAAGCCTTTAGAAAAAAATTTTTAATTCAACTGAAAGGATAGGAAGAGAAGTAACAGTATTTGGTGAGTTAGTTCAGCAGTGAGCCAAAGTTTCATTAGCTACCTGAGAAGCCCCTTTCCCAAATGCCTAGCGGGATCCTTGATAGAGGATGAAGTCTCTAGAAGGAGGTATAGGATGTCGGGGACTAGGCAGTTCTCACAGAAAGGACAGACAAGCACAAGTGAGTGGATCACAGGAAGTGGTCACACTAAGCCAACTGACCTTGGAGCCGGGGAGCGTGAAGACCCCAGGGAGCTGAAGAGGTGGAGGTCCCCGGTTGCAAGTAATGTTCCCCTTCCCAGCCCGCCCTCCGGCTGACCTGGCTGTGACCAAGGCCCTGCTATGGGTATGTTCTGCGTGGTTTTGAGCTAGAGCACCCGGAGAGAAGAAGGTGAAGAACTGTGTCAGCAGGCGCACCTGAGGGGGCTGACATGAGAGCATGCCCTGAGCCCTCAAGTTTGAGTCTCGGCTGGATAGCAAATCAAGCCACTATCTTAAAGAAAAAAAGGAGGTTGGCATGTTGATAGTCCCGGATAATCCCAGAATTTGAGAAACTGGAGTGGAGGATTAAGAGTTCAAAGCTATCAGGGCAGTGGTGGCACACACCTTTAATCCCACCACTCAAGAGGCAGAGGCAGGGGGATCTCTGTGAGTTCCAGGCCAGCCTGGTCTCCAGAGCGACTTCCAGGAAAGGCTCCAAAGCTACACAGAGAAACACTGTCTCAAAAAACAAAACAAGTTTAAAGCTAATTTGGACTATATAGCAAAACCCTGCTTAAACAAACAAACCAAACAACAACAGCAAAAACAGAACAAAACAAAAACCAAACACCAAAAACTGTGAGTTCAAGGCCAGCCTGGTTTACAGAGTGAGTTCTAAGCAAGGGCCACACAGAGAAACCTTGTCTCAAGAAAACAAACAAAAAGACAAAGAACAACAAAAGAAAAAGGGGGTGGGGATAAAGCAGAGAGCAGGAGGGAGGAGGATTGTGGGCAGAGGAGTCACTCCTTGCCTGCTGGGGCCAGGCTGCAGGGCAGTGACTTAATATGGCCAGAAGAAGACTGAGCGGCCCCAGCAGAGGAATCCAGTTTCACCTTGTCCAGGACAGTCTTTTTGATGGCAGCAGGGGAGACAGTTTCCTGATCAGCCATGGTCTGCAGCTCCCTGGAAAAGCAATGAGACACTGGGTCTGAGTCTCTCCTCCCAGAACCCACAGTTCCATGGCTATGATGGGTATGATGGGTAGTGCTATACTGGCACCTCATCGCTTCACACCTGCAATTCCCCTGTCTCTACAGCTGCTGCATGCCTACTTCTCACACCATTCAGAGTGACTTAGGGTCACCCTGGCTACAATACCAACCATCAAGATGACTTGAGCACTCCTAGTCCTGAACTTTTCACGGCCCAACTTGCAGCAGGATCTTGCTTCTCCTGTTTCCATGGGCCATGCTAAGTGGCTAGGTCCCATGTCCAAGCTTTGCTCTGTCACTCAGCCTTGTCTAGGCCTTTGTGCTAGAGGGTGGGCACTGTCAAGAAACGGATTGCTGGCTTACCCTGTAGTCATGAACCTGGGAGAGTGGTTCCCAGCCATGGCTCTGCCTTACACCAACTCAGGGAACCCAGGCAAGTTTCATTGAACTCTCACCAGGCTACCTTGCTGCCAACATGCTGCCATCTTAGCTAACTCACTTAACCTGGGAAAGGTCACGAACAAGGTGCTGGGCCAGGCCCCTAAACTGCCCAGCCACCCTTATAGCCTGGCTCCCTGGTCTTGATGGTGAAGTGGACCAGATACTGTCTACAGACACGAGGGTACCCTTCACACACAACAACGGAAGGGAGCTAGAGGCATTGCGGACTGTGACCCAAGGAACCTTGAGACTTCCAAAATCCTTCTCAGAGCCAGGACAGGGCTCAAGGGTATCTGCTAAGTGAGTAACTCCACCAAAGTCTTTGAAGCCTGGATTCTGGTGTACGGAGTAGGTGGCTGGGGAGTGGGCAACAGCAGGACCTACCGTGTACGGATGCAGGAGGCCTCCACAGCATTGATAAGCAGGGAGCGAAAGCCCCCACTCTCCAGCACATGCAAGGCATGGATGGTGGCCCCACCAGGAGAGCAGACATTGTCCTTGAGCTGGCCTGGATGCTGTTCTGAGTCTAGTAGCATCTTAGCTGCCCCCTATGAGAAGAAAGAGGGGCTGATGGCAGTAGGCCACCTAACTACCTGCTTCTACAGAGTCCTCAGCCACCCAAGCCCCTGCTGACTACCCACTCATGTGTCCCCAGGGCACTAGTTTTGGGTTTAGCAAGGAACAGCTGCCACAAGTATCTCAAAACACTGACCAGGAGGGCCTGGGCCCCCAGGCGGACAGCCAGGCGTCTTGGAAGTCCCATTTTCACTCCACCATCAGCGAGAGCGTCCAGGGCGGTGAAAGCCTGTAAGGAGAATGCATCCTTAGCCACTGTCCGACCCTCCTCTCTGGGACCCAGAGCAGGGTGCAGCAGAAACAGGTGCGCAGAGGCCCTGGGAGACCTCCACCCATCACCCATCCAGTCCTCACATAGGCAGGGCCGCTGCCACTGAGCCCCGTGACGGCATCGATCAGATCTTCCTCCACCTCTGTGCAGAAGCCCACACTGCCCATGAGCTGCTCCACGAGCCTGCCATCCTCCACCTGAGCATGAGTGCCCGTGGCGTACACAGTAACACCCTCCCGCACCACCACTGGGGTGTTGGTCATACAGCGGATGACTTTGGGTGCTGGCTGGAATGCTGTCAGCTTCTGAAAGAGAGAAACCGGCTCTGTCACTCTGGCCTTGGCTGTTTGTCCTCACTCTAGGCATGGAAGTGAGTATGGACCTGGTTCCCAAAGCGAGGCATTTCCCGAGCTCTTGCTGTGGGCTGGGCTGCTATACCCTGTACACAGGTAAAGAAGCCAGACACTGGAGCAGAGCTCCTGACCATATGTTCCCCACACCCCCTCCCTGAAGCCCTACTGATCTGGCCCTCGGCACCCACCTTTTCAATGGAGTTGATGGTGACACCTGCCGCACAGGACACCACGATGTGCCTGTCCTCGATGTCAGCACCAATTTCATCCAGGATGAAGGGGATGATGTGTGGCTTCACAGCCAGGAAGAGCACATCGCTGTGGCGCACTGTCTGTCTGTTGTGGGCTGTCAGGTTCACCCCTATCCTCTGCAGGAGTGCAAGGGGACTCAGCTTGCCTCAGGGGCTGTCTGCCCACAAAGCTGAGAGACAGCCTTGTGTGCAGAGAAGCCCACAGGCTGCTGGGCTGTGGTGCAGGCTGGGTTGGGAGGTAAGGACTCAGCTGTCCTTACCTAGAAATGGAAAAAGCACTATGCCCTGGAATGTGTCCCCTTCAAACAGAAAAGGACACCACAGCCTTCTAAACACAGCCCAGCTCATTCTACCTGAGGCTATAGTGGTTGCAGTCTCTGCAGCTGCCTGCCTTCTGGAGGTGGATGGTGGTCTCAACCTGGGAGCCTGACCCCCCACATCTTCAGCCTGAAATCCTGACTGAGCCATAGCAAACAGAAACTGTACTCACCCCCCCACACCCGGTCCATTGTCTGGTCCCAGTGCTGTCCAGCCCTCTGGAGAGATCCTTTGGCCCCCACCTAGGTGATCCCATTCCAGACTAACACCCTCAGCTACCAGCTGTATTCATGACAGGGCAGGGAGGCAGCATCTGGAGACTTCCTTATGGCAGGTTTGCTTTTCCCACTGGAATAGGGGGCTACAGTACAGCCGCTCCCACCCTGGCCCTCAGTCAGACTTCCTATCTGCTTTAACGTGGCACCTACCCGGAGGGCAGAGACCGTGGCTTGGTCCATGTCCGGGGAGCTGGCCATTATCTTGTGAGCTGCCAGAACACCTGCAGGAAACAGAATTCTTCCCTCAAAGCTAGGGGATGGCAGAAAAGCACTCCTCACCCCTTTAGGACAGCAGCCCCAAACATATGGTGGCTGCCATTTCCCAAAGGGCTGAGGCCACCAACCCAGACACTCCACGCTAGCACCCTCCCTGGCCCCACAGGAACCTACCTGCTGCTGTGAAGCCCTTGGCTAGGGCAAAAGCCAGCTGCCCTGCCCCGATGAAACCCACGCTCATGTCTGGAGGTCCAGCACCCACAGCCTTCGCAGACGGCTCCGGCTCTGCAGGACAGCTGCAACCTGGACACACAGGATGGAAAGCAAGAAGCTGGGTGGGCAGTACCAGGTTTGGCCGCTCCTGGCAGCCAGGTGCTCCCCCCTCGCCAATGCCAGCCTGCCTAATAGCTAGGTTGCTCCTCAGCTGGCCGGGCTGGAAGTTGTCCCGGTTTCCCCACACTCTGTATCACAACCACCTGCTGCCAGAGCAAGGACGCCTGACCTGCAGCTGAAGGTCCTGAACGCTCCAAAAAGAGCTCCGGGAGACGCAAGGGAAGCGACTGACTGTAGGGAAGGGCCCCGGAATCTAGAGTACCCCAACACCCAAGTCCTCAGTCCGCCTCCAGCGCGGGTCCCAGAAGTCCCATCCCCGAAGCCTTCATTACAGGAGTCCCAACCCCGGCGCCCGGGATCCCGCTACAGCTACCTGTGTGCAGCTACACGCGCGAGGGTCCGGCCCTCTGCATCTGCCACGCGGCACCCACGCCCACAGGTCCCGCCCCCGCTGCACTTCAGCCAATGCGCGGAGCGGCCTCCGGGAGCTAGCCAACCCAGGGCTGCAACTGGAGCCTTGAGCATTGCATCATCCACAGGACGAGGACAGACACGCCTCCCTGCTCCCTTCTTGAAGTGGGTGGTAGTAGCGAATACAGATCAGTACCCCCAAAACCACGGCTCCCTTCCTGTATCTGTAGTCTCGTTGCAGGTGTTCCTTTGAAAGCTAGGTGCCTTCTGCAGCCTCAGGCCTGTTACTTCCCGAACTCCCTCCATCCTACAGAGACCCAGCTTCCTAACCACCGGTTATGGAGATAATTTGCTCTGGGCATCAGCCACCCCCATAGGTCCTCAAGACCCATCCGATGATCTAAAAGGTGCAGAGCAGTCTGGGGTCCCCCAGACTCTACCAAAGTACGAGTGAGTCCTGCGCCCACCCGCCAGCCCCCGCAGAGGTTGCTTGCTTAATTTTTTTCCTGTCGTGGTTGTTGCCTTAGATAAAGACAAACTGCTTTAGAAACTAATTTCAAAATCATTAGGAAGCTTCGAACCTGCAAGGTTTGGATTTCCGTCCCTTCTCCTTGACCACCACCCGAACTGTGAGACTACTCCATGGAATTGTCTGGGTGGCCAGTTTGGTACTCAACCTTTAAGAAAAAGGCTGGAACACCTGTGCCAAGTTGACAGCTCAAGCTTATGCACAAAGCCTAGAAGTTCAGTTCTCCGAACTCGGCTCCATATATCAGATACTTTCCAGGGCTGGAGACATGGCTCAGTGCCAAAGAGCATTTGTTGCTCTTCCGGAGGACCTGGATTCTGTTCCCAGCGTCTGTACGGTAACTTACACTACCCAGAACTCCTTTTCTAGGTGATCCGAGGTTTCCTCTGAACTCCTAGGTCACCAGGTGTGCAGGGGTGTATATACATGGGTGCAAAATAGTTATGCACATAAAAACAAACTAAAAAAATTAAAGGGGTACTTTCCTCTAAATGATAATAAGAAACACCCCTAAAACCAAAGAAAGACACTCCTGTAGTCTAGGGAGCTCCAGAAACCTTTCTCCCATTTTCTTCGAGTCTTAGTCCTCTTCTCCTCTGCCTTCCCTCAGGACACATGAAATTTAGGTTGGATGTGATGCCGGGAACAGGTCACTCAACAACAAGAACACTGGGGACTTAGAGACAGATGCCATGTTTCAGGATTGTGGCTAATAAAAGAATGAAAGAGGAGGGGGAGCTGGAGAGATGGCTCAGAGGTTAAGAGCACTGGCTGCTCTTCCAGAGGTCCTGAGTTCAATTCCCAGCAACCAAAAGGTGGCTCACAACCATCTGTAATGAGATCTGGTGCCCTCTTCTGGCCTGAAGGCAGACATGCGGGCAGAACACTGTACATAATAAATCAATCTTTTTTAAAAAAGAAAAAAAAAACATAATTTACTAAATTCAAAAGCAATTTAAAAAATGAAAGGGAAATCCCCCTAAAAGAAGACCCAGCCAGACTTGATGAGGCATCACATACCTGTAATCCCAGCACTAGGGAAACTGCTGCAAGAGGATGTCCAGTGAGAGGCCAGCTTGGACTACATTTTGAAACCCTGTCTTAAGAGGGGGAAAAAGAAGCCGGGCGTTGGTGGCACACGCCTTTAATCCCAGCACTCCAAAGGCAGAGGCAGGCGGATCTCTGTGAGTTCGAGGCCAGCCTGGTCTCCAGAGCAAGTGCCAGGACAGGCTCCAAAGCTACACAGAGAAACCCTGTCTCGAAAAACAAAGGAAAAAAAAAACAAACAAAACAAAACAACAACAACAACAAAAAACCAAGGGGGAAAAAGAAAAAAAAACAAAAGAGAGATACTTGTTATGGCTCAGTGGGGGAATGAGCTTGCTTCCAAACCCGAACAACTTGACCACCTGAGTTGGCTCTCCTGAACACGTGTAAAATAGAAGAACTAAGTCCACAGAGTTTTCTTTTAACCTCCACACGTGCACTGTGGTGTCCCCATCTCACACATACCATACATGTAGTACTGATACATGAAAAAGAAAAGAGTCAAAAAAAAAAAAAATGGAGGCTGGAGAGATGGCTCAGAGGTTAAGACCATTGACTGCTTTTCCAGAGGTCCTGAGTTCAATCCCAGCAACCACATGGTGGCTCACAACCATCCATTATGAGATCTGGTGCCCTCTTCTGGTGTGCAGATATACATGGAAGCAGAATGTTGTATACATAATAAATAAATAAAATTTAAAAAAAAAGAAAAGAGCCGGGCTGTGGTAGCACATGCCTTTAATCCCAGCACTCGGGAGGCAGAGGCAGGCAGATCGACATATTCTTCTTTCTGCTTCGTTCCTGATGCTGTGGCCTTCTGATGCCCAAAACTTACATTGTTGAGGGTACCTGCAGACCCAGAAGCTAGCTATCCTACCCATTCAAATGAAAGACATAGGTCCCAATTCAGTTTTTGACTCACCCAAGTGTTCCTTCTCCAGCTAGCCAGCAAGGGCCACACAGTACCCACACATGGCCTGGCTCACAGCCCAGAGTCTAAGTGCTCTTGGTTCCACGGGCCCCTCTTCCCTGTGATCTGGGCCCTGAAGACCTCAGTATGAGGCTTTGGCTGCCTCTAGGAACAAAGAGAATGACCTTCCTTCTTTGCACCTGGCCTTCTGTGAAATCCTGACCTGCCCCCTTTTCAGAAGGCCCAGACAAGGCCAAGCCTGGCCTTTATCCCAGGATCCAGGGTACTCCTAAGGCCACACCCTCCCTCACAATGACCTGGTTTAGACCTCTTCTCAGAGCATGACACAAGCATGTAACTTAAGTGGTGCAATCTACCACAGCCCCTAAACAGAGATGACAAGTGAACTTGTCTGGGTATTCATCAAAGGTAGCAGGCCAGGAGTAAGTGAGAATTCACCTTTTATTCCCTGCTGGAGGACCTGGGGGACAGTCAGTTAATGGGCTCAAGGGCTTCCCAGGGGCAGTCCAGTCTGGGCTCTTGTAGAAGTAAAGCTGGGAGATGATGCCAGCAATTCCTGGTATTCAGGAGCAACTGGCTAACAAGATGCTTGAGTGGAAGCCCAGTGACCAGAATCCATGACCCAGTGGCTGCCCCAAGATGGCTCTTCATGGTAAGTCAATGTTGCCAATCCACCCAGCCTGCCGGAACCCATGGTAGGTAGGCAATGCAGGAATGTCTATGTCACAGTTTGTCCTGGGTGTCTGGGCAGAAGCTCCTTCGCTCTCAAGAGACCATCCTGTTTTTACAGTGATTCTGGTGTTGACCTTTGACATCAGGCCACCCAAGAACCTCAGCACAGTAGTCGTTTCTCTGTTTCTAAAGGCAAGGCCGCTGGGATACTCCTGGGCACAGGTGAGGTCCATCCCAGCTGCCAGGTTTCTCTACAAACGATCACAGCCATCCCAAAGAGACCTCCTCCTAGGGTTCTAGAAACCCCTCCCCTTGAGACAAACAGGAGGGTCCAGCTCCAGCATTCCTCCCAGTGGCCTGACCCTGGTGTTCTTGGCTTGTTTTTCACCCATTTCATCCTCGGGAAACTGTCTGATTTCTAACTGATATTACCCCAGCTAAATGCTATCTCTCAAGACACTTACTGGCACACCTCTGACGTTCACCTAGCTTCACTGTTACCATCTGCAAAATGAATTACAGTAGCAATTGCTCCAAAAAGTTTCCATTTGGTACAGTGACTAGCACCAAGCTTACGGATGGCCAGGAAACAGAAACAGACGAAGAAATGGAGACAGACAGGAAGGAGAGCCCATAAGCCACCTTCTTCTCTGCTCAGGGCCTCCTGCCCCTCCATCCTTTCTCTTTCCCTCTCCTGGTGAGTGCTGACAGATGTCATGCGCGGACTTGCCGGAGCCCCCAATCTCCCTCTTGCTTCCCCGTGTCTTAGTTCACCTTGTCAGCTTCAGGTGCTCTCAGCCAGAGAGAGGAGAGGACGGGTCAGGCTACAAGGCAGGCACGAAACGGATCCTCTGGGAGTAGGCGAGGTCGACGATGTAAAGGAGCAGGTTGACGTAGGTGAAAATAGCCACCACCAACTGGCTGTCCCAGGGACAGCTGCCTCGGAGGCAGTCAGGGGGCCGTCCTGGCTCTCCGTACTTAGGGTCAAAGCAGAAGACCGGCCAGATGACTGCGGCACTGAGGTACAGGAGCACAGCCAGGAAGGTGTACACTACCACTAGGCGGTCAAATGGGCATCCCAAGCCCCCTGTGTGTCCCATCACGCTCAGGGCCACCACAGCCACCGTGGCCATGAAGCACAGGCTGTAGACGGCCACGCACCACTGTGTGGCCATGTAGCGCCCGTAGCGGCTGTCATGGACAAGGGCCCCAAAGATGATACAGGCCACAAAGGCTTGGACGATCTTGAGGAGCCCAGACACCGTAGCCATGTAGCTGGCTACCTGACCAGGCCGTGCCCGAGTCAGGGCCACTTCGGCCGCGTAGGCCAGGAAGAGGAGTCCTGCGAAGACGCTGGCTGCCAGGCGGAAGTTTCTGGCCATGCACCCGGCAGGCTCTGGGGGACACTCCAGCCGGGTAAAGTACAGAGGGTAGATGACGGCGGCTGTGGCACACAGCAGGGTTGCCAGCATGGCAAAGGCTGCTGTGAAGTTGCCCCAAGAAAGGCGCAGGCAGCCGTGGAGCCTCGTGAACTCACAGGCTACCACCAGGACAGAGAGGGCAAAACAGAAGCCCCAAGCAGCCATGCAGAAAGTGCCCTGGACACCACCAAAACCACCTCGGTGAGCAACCAAACTGAAGGTGGTACAGCCGAAGGCCAGCTGCAACACCCGCGCGGTACCTACAGGAGAGGTCACAGCGCCCAGGTGCAGGTAGCCCCCCCCTGGGGGCTCCATGGTGCTGCCCATCTGGTTCTCTGCCCGCCTCCCAGCCTCACACAGTGCCCTGCTGCCCTGGGGTCCGGCCGGCTGAGAGACCTCTGTCTTCTGCGGCAGCGGCAGGTGCTGGCAGTCTGCAGCGGCAGTGTTAACAGTGACATTGCAGCAGAGCAGCCTCTCTGCTGCCTGCGTTGGGAGCCCTCCCCCCCCAGGGCTATAAATAAATAGCCTGATCAGAGCCCCGGAATAGCAGCCTGCACGCTGGTTCCCAGGCTGGAGGGACATCTGACCCCTGCATCCCACAAAGATTCCCCTGTCAGTTAGTCTACGGATGCTGGACACCCACCTCCTGCTTCTGTCAGTCCGGGTCAGTAAAGTGTGGGGGAGGGGCTTTCTCCTCCGGGGACCACAGCTGAGGCTTCAAGCAACCTCTGGGTCGGGTATGCTAGGGAAAGGGTACAGATAGGTGAAGAAACAGCAGGAGGCTCTAGAAGGCATAGGAGTAATTCTTTCGTATTATAGTCCTGTGTCACCTGGCCTGGCTCAGCTCATCTCTCCTTTTCTTTCCTTCTTTTTTTTTTTTTTTTTTTTTTTTTTTTAGCAGACCAAAATTAGATTTATTAAGAAAAAAGTGAGAACTGTGAGTAGGAGGGGCTCCAAAGAAGAAAAACCACACAACTCTGCCTTTGTTGTTTGTTTATTTATTTTGGAGACAGAGTCTCATGCAGTCCAGACTAACCTCAAACTCACTGAACCGTTGAGGATGGCCTTGGACTTTTTAATTAAATTTTTTAAAAATCAGACTTACTTATCTTCATTATTTATTCATTTATTTTCAGTCTTTCGAGACACGGTTTCTCTGTGTCTGTCCTGGAACCTACTCTGTAGACCAGGCTGGCCTCGAACTCACAGAGATCCACCTGCCTCTGCCTCCCGAGTGCTAGGACTAAAGGCATGCGCCACCACTGCCTGGTTTATCTTTATTTTTTAGTCATTTATTTATTTTAATTTAAGTGCATTGGTGTTTTGCCTGCATGTATGTCTGTGTAAGAGTGCTGGATCCCCTGGAGCTGCAGTTATGGACAGTTGTGAGCTGCCATGTGGTTGCTGGGAATTAAACCTGGGTCCTCCAAGAGCAGCCAGTGCTCTTAATCACTGAGGCATCTCTCCAACCCTATTTTATTTTGTTTTATGTGTATGAGTGTTTTGCCTGTATGTATGTATGTGTGTGTGTGTGTGTGTATGTATGTATGTATGTATGCATGCATGCATGTGTGTGCACCTTTTGTGAGTTTATGGATGGTTATAAGCCACCTTGTGGATACTGGGAACTGAACCTATGTCCTCTGCAAGAGCAGCAAATGCCCTTAACCATTGATCCATCTGTCCAGCCCGGAACTTCTCTTTCTAATATTTATTTATTTGTATCATGTGTATAAGTGTTTTGCCTACATGTATGATGTGTACCATGTGCATGACTAGTCCCCGTGGAAGTGAGAAGGCCTTGGATTCCCCTAGAACTGGAGCTATGGGTTGTTGTAAACTGCCTAACATGTGTGTGCTGGGACCCTGGAACCCAGAGATCATCTGCAAAAGCAACAAGTGTTTTGTTTGTTTGTTTGTTTTGGTTTTTCGAGACAGGGTTTCTCTGTGTAGCTTTGGAGCCTATCCTGGCACTCACTCTGTAGACCAGGCTGGCCTTGAACTCACAGAGATCCACCTGCCTCTGCCTCCAGAGGGCTGGGCGGTGCGCCACCACCGCCCAGTGCAACAAGTGTTCTTTTTTTTTTTTTTCACTTCAAAAACTTTTATTTGTATGAACAGTTCCTAACTCTTGATTTAGCTTAGCAACAAGTTCTTAAGCACCAAACCATCTCTGAAGCCAGACATTGGACAACTTCAACAAATTTTCTTCTTCCTCTTCCTCTTCTTCCTCTACTTCTTGGTTTCTTTGAAACAGAGTCTCTCTAGGTAGCTCTGGCTGTCCTGTAGCTTACTATGGAGACCAGTCTGGCCTTGAACCTACAGAGATTTGGTATGCCTCTGCAGTGCTGGAAATAAAGGGATATACCACACATTTATTTTTGTTTTAAGATTTATTTATTTTTGTTTTATGTCTATGAGTTTTTTGCCTGCCTGTATATATTTGGACCAGGGTTGTGAGCTGCCATGTGGGTTCTAGGACCCAGATTCAGATCCTCTGAAAGAGCAGCCAGTGCTCTTAACCACTCCCTCTTTTTAAATTTAAATTTACAGCTACAGAAGTGGTGCCTGTTCAAGTCCAGTCAGCAGAGGAAAAGAGAAGGAAAATCCAGCCTTTTTACTTAGAGTCGATCATGGTAATATCTGCTGAGAGATCTTCGTAGAGATCTCTTCGACTTACAAGTGGAAAATATCAAATCTACAGAAGAGTCAAAGAAAGAGCAACCAGCATCTGTGTTCCTTTCACCTACAATCAAGATTGAGTCTATTGAAGGCTGGGCCTCGGTGATACCAGACAAATGCTTTCTCACTAAACTCAACAGTCTGCAGAATAATTGTTAATACTTGGTGGCTCGCTTTCATAATTAATTAATTCTGCTAATATGCCCACAGGCATCTCCTGAGCTATGCCCCTAGAGAACCCACTCAAAAATTTCTGGACAGAGGGTTGGAGAGATAACAGCTAAGAATACCATTTGCAGGGCTGGAGAGATGGCTCAAGGCTTAGGAGCACTGGCTTCTCTTCCAGAGGACCTGGGTTAGATTCCCAGAACCTACGTGGCTGCTCACAACTGTCTGTAACTCCAGTTCCAAGAGATCTGACACCTTTGAACCAATGCACATAAAATGAAGTCAAATAATTTATATGTATATATGTATATATATGAACACCACTTGCTTCTTACATTAGATGGGGGTTTGATTCCTAGTAGCCACATGGCTGCTCACAACTGTCTGTAAATTCAGTCCTAGGGATTAGCCTCTGCTGGCACCAGGCACACATGTGATGCACAGATATAACTGTAGACAAAACACCCATACATATAAAATACAAATAGGTAAACTTATTAAAAACAAAAAAACGGTTCAGGACAATCACTTGAAACACATTGGTACCTGAGTTCCTCACTTGTTCTCAAGACCCACCGTGTAGCTCTTGAAGCATGTCTGCCCAGATCCGATCAGGAATGAGGCATTGCACGTGACTGTAGTGGTTCCTTGTGTTTTATCCTGGATCGGGACACTTCCTTATTTTGTGCTTTGTGTCTGTTGTGGGGTATTCACCAGAGGAGACTGCTCAGACATGTGTTTAAGCCAACAGGAAGTCTTTATTAGCTGGACAGCAACTACACTGGGTGTTCAGGATCCCAGTGTAGCCCAAAGTCTTTCTCAGGGTGAGATTTTAAGCACAAAAACCATGTTCTGGGTTGACATACTTCAGTTAACAAGAACAGTTAACAAGAATTGGAGTTACAGAAGCCAAAAAGCAAGGTTACTACACTTAAGAGAACTATGGACTTTGATGGATCGGGTTTTTGTTTTCATTTTTGGCAGGTGGTGCTGTCTACATGCTGAATCTTACAGCATGGATGGCACTTCCATCGTGGAATCAGTTGTACAAAGATCTGGGGGCCTGCTAAGGTCTGGGGACTTGTTACAGTGACATTGGTGTTGTCCAAGCCAAGGGTTTGAAGGAGTGTCCTTCAGTGTGTGCCATGGGGCTATTTCCCCAAGATTTGATACCAAACTAGAAGCTTCTAGCAGGAAGACTAAGGAGGGAGCATCATATGTGACTGAGTATCTGGATCAGGAGGAGGTCGGCCGTAAGGGCGGATGGGGTATCCTGTGTATGTGTCCACCTGTCACCCAACAGTCTTCCCAGGATTCTTAGCATCATGAACCCTTCTCATAGACAGTGTTCTCTGAGAATGGAGACACATTGCTCACCAGATCTAAGATACTTTTTTTCATGAGATTTCTTACTTTTTTTTTTTTTTTTTTTTTCCAAGACAGGGTTTCTCTGTATTGCTTTGGAGGCTGTCCTGGAACTTGCTCTGTAGACCAGGCTGGTCTCGAATTCACACCTGCCTCTGCCTCCCGAGTGCTGGGATTAAAGGCATGTCAGTTTTCTTTTGTTGTTTTGTTTTTTTGTTGTTTTTTTTTGGTCACGAGATCTTTCTCCCTCCCTCCCTCCCTTCCTTCCTTCCTTCCTTCCATCCGTTTTTGTAGATAGGGCTTCTCTGTATTGCTTTGGAGCTGGTCCTGGAACTCGCTCTGTAGATGCAGCTGGTCTCGAACTCACAAAGATTGGCCTGCTTCTGCTGGGCTTAAAGGTGCACCACCATCACCCGGCACCCCAGCCCCTCCCCCCCTTTTTTTTTTCGAGACAGGGTTTCTCTGTGGCTTTGGAGGCTGTCCTGGAACTAGCTCTTGTAGACCAGGCTGGTCTTGAACTCACAGAGATCCACCTGCCTCTGCCTCCCGAGTGCTGGGATTAAAGGCGTGCGCCACCAACGCCCGGCTGAGATTTCTAAACACACTATGTGTTATATATGCAGTGTCCACCTAGGTATTCAGGCCTTTTTAAAATTATTTTTTAAATTACACACACACATACACATATATACACGGAATTTATTAGAGTGGCTTATAAACTGGGATCCAGCTAGCCCAACCATGGCTGTCTACCAATGGAAAGTCTAAGAATCCAGGCTGGCTGTCCCAGCTGGTTTTCAGTATACACCAGAATCCTGAAGAAATAATCTCTAAGCCTGGTTGCCAGTGAGGGTAAACAGGCAAAGTGAGTGAATTTCCTTCCTCCATGTCCCTTATGTAGGATGCTACCAGAAGGTGTGGCCCACATTAAAGGCGGCTGTTCCCACATCAAAAGATCTGGATTAAAAGTGGGTCTTCCCACTTAACAATGATTTAATTATGAAAAAAATTCACCGGGTGTTGGTGGCACACGCCTTTAATCCCAGCACTTGGGAGGCAGAGGCAGGTGGATCTCTGTGAGTTCGAGGCCAGCCTGGTCTACAAGAGCTAGT